CAGGCATTAAGAAGATATTCAATTGCATCATTTTAAGCAATTTCTCAACTATAAAAGAATATGATGCTCTCAAATTTGGTTTATTCTGAACAATACAATATCTATTATTAAAACCATTGCATTGAACATTTAGGGCCAATTTATTAATACATTTAAATTCTTACATGAAAATATGAATGGCATAACATGAATTCTCTTATGATTAAATGTGTACTTAGTTAAAATACTTAACTGTAACACATACTTGTAATAACTTCAGGAGAGTCATTAGCTTCCTACTGTGAAAGTACATAAACCCTGAGCTGGATATTTTGTTGGGTCTGTCCAGAATTTGACACTGGTCGTTGAGATTAAAATGCCCTCGACCTGCCAAAGCTCCTCTGAGGTGGTGCAGTTCTAACCGTAGAATCTATTGGAGCCCTCTATCCCAATCTAGAGCAATTTCTCATCATATGTCCTGATTGGTGACACCAAAAATAAGTGTTGGATGTAGAAATTCACTCACCCTTGTGAGACGTCCTACACTTTTCATATTTTCAATCTTCAATCTGGATGTCAATATTGTTGGATCTAGCCTTCTTAGCACATGTATTTCCTGACTGGAATGACTGTCTGTACTGAGAGGCCTGAGGAAATCGAAATCTCTCTGAATTTCTTCTCTTATGAAAGTCCCCCCTCCTCTGGGTAGCTCTAAATCAACTCAATCATTCTGGCCCTCTCCACCAAAATGGAATAGTCATCGATCTCAAGAGGAATCAGTGGTTTTCTAATCATATCCCTAATCCCAAACAAAAACCTGTGGCACTTCTTTGTATTTGGACTCAAATGGGGCGCATATATTGAAAACAAAGTAAATTCAATTTTATATTGCAGATCTCTCCGCACCAGCCTAATGAATTTATCCAGCATTTACCTTCAAGCTGAAAGCGGTATGAATCAATCTCTAAAAGTGTTCACGAACTCAGTCCACTGTATCATGTGGCTGACTCTACCACCAAATTTCTCCAGCAACTGTCCTCACCACCATATTTTTTCTTCCCCCTCTAAGGTAAAAGTAATTGATGAAACCCTCATCTCCGGAGGACAAAACAATCCATCTAAAATCTTTTCTACTCTCAACAACCAGTTCTCGTCATCCACTGCACTTCTTCCTCCATAAAAGAGAGGTGGTCTCATATCCTAAAATAGCTTCAGGTACTTGTCCATCTCATATCCCCCACTAAAACTGACCTAATTTTTACAGTTCTTAATCAAAAGAGTTACTGCAGTCATCATCTCAGCAAAAGTACTTGCATTCATAGTAATCTGTGGAGGTGCATTAATTTTTATCACATCATCTCTAACTTCTTCCCCTTGATTTTTCCTACTTCTAAAATAACATTAAAAAATTATAATTAGACACAAATTAACCCTTCATTAATATTATTTATGAATTATTTTAATCAACCTAATGGCTATTTTTTATTATGATCCAGTCCAATCACTCTGATACCACTTTTGTCACAACTCGGCCTAAAAGCTTAGAATTAATCAAGTTAAAAAAATGTGGTTGAATGATAGTAATCATCATTTCTATCATTTAATAATTCATCATAACTTCGAATAATGAAAAAGCAACTGAAAAAATCCACAAAATACACTCAACAAAAATCTGATTCATCCAAAGTATCAACATTGACACAGAGTAAAATAGTATCACAATCCAACATTTCTTAGAATTAAATGGCATAAGAACTAGAAAAAAAAAACAACCTACTAACTAGTATCAGTAATCCACCTCCTATAAACCAAATCCTTTCGGCCGGTCATATCAACCTAGTATTTTACCTAAAGGAAATAATAAATTTAGACAATAGGTTTACCACAACTTGGCAAGCAATTCTAACCTTATTATGTATTAAATTAAAATGTAAATGCTATACATGAATGTCTTATGTTGTAAGTTTTCATTTTAAATTAACCCTTCATGTTTAAATTTAAGTATCTACCTTTATAACAATTGCCTTTTATTAAGAAGTTATATCAGAATTATTGACATACCTGAAAATATCCTCCAAATTGAACCCATAAGTACCTTTAAAAATTTACACCTGACGGTACACCGCTAGCATTTCCATTCTTTTCATGATTGATTTAAGTCTATATTTATCATTCATATCGATTTAGAATTATTTTAATGTACTTTCATATATCAATTATTTTCCTCTCATTTGTGAGACATCTTTCAAATATTCAAAATTCAAAACATAAATGAAATATTTATTTTTAAAATCATATTGTAAGTTTACTTTGATCAATTTAAAATGCACCTTCTAAATAAATCATGAATGTAATACTAATAAGAAAGTAATTACTCGTCTTAATTGATTTGACAAACACTCTTTAATTTTAAATCCTTTGAAGCAGAAGTTCTTCAATACCCGGTGATAAAGAACCTAATAGTAACATTTATTAAATATATTTATCCTACTAATTGTTTTAAAAACTAATAAAACTTTAAACATACATTTCCTTTCTTCTTTTAATAAAATCAACAATTCAGGTCTCCAAGCTTACAAAGCAAAACTTCCTCGATATTTTTATATTTATTATTAACTAATGGAACTAACTATTAATAATTGACAAAAGCTGAATTGAAGAATTGTTTATTAATTCACTAACAATCATAAAATAATTTAAATACAATTCAATTTACTATTTACTCTTAAAAATAACATTCTCACTTACTTATTAGCTTGGTTCACCTCCTTTACACGCGAAGCCCCTTGACTCCTCCCATCTCTCGGACAGGCGCTTGACTTTAACACTAAAGGCAAGCCGATCTCCTCTCTCTTTCACTGCTTGTAGCCGATCAAGCACGGTAAGCTTCGCACGGCAGGGAAAAGCTGCATGATCCTTCCTCCTCCTTCGGCTTATTCTCCTTCCTCTTATTCTTCACACAAGCGGTGTCGTCCTTCCTCCTGCAACACCTGTACTCGAAGCGGAAGCCTTATGCACCCGCGAGCAATGTCAAATTTTTGTTCCAAGAGAATGGATGTTTACCGTAGATGCGCGCAAGTATTCTTCTTTTTTTTTCTTTCCTCCACCTTGTTTGATTAGGGTACAACTCCCCTTCTACAGAAGTTCCGTAAGCAAAGCCGCCACTTTTCCTTCTTCCGTATTCTTCTCCACAGGTCGGCTAGGGCACACATGCTACCCTTGCTTCCTCCTTTTTCTTCTCCTTTATTTCATTTTGTTCCTTTGCTTCCTCTGCCTTACACTCAGTCCTCGATTCGTTCTGCGATTCCAAAAGAGTGGCACACTAGCCTCATTAAGTGAAATCATCGAGAAAGTAATTTGATCCCATCAATTCGATTTATTATTATTATTATTTTAGTTAAAATTTTAGTTATTACAATGTTTATATTGTTATCCTATATTGAAATTTCTCTTCCTCTTAGAAGTGATAATCAGCACCGGAGAGTTTAACTAAAACCCTAAACTGGAGAGTTCCACCTATGAGAAATCATTGAACTAGAAAAATGAAGTTATTCTAAGAGGTACAATCCCTAAATAGTAAGTCTTCGCTGTCAAATTTATCACCGAAAAGAATAAAAAAAATAATCCTCCCATAGATGTCGAGCCAAGCGGTGCCTTTCAAGGCTCACAATAATTCGCAGGGAACAAAAATGTCTTCAAATGTTTTATTTTTTATATTTTTTAACTTTAATATTGATCATACATTTAAGGATGCACCTTTATGACCAAATCATGGAACAATCAAGCCGCCAGTACCTGTTATTCTTTTCGCAAATATGATTGATGTGAAAGTCATGGTGTGCTTTAATTTCTTTTGCCGATTTTATTTTCAGCATCTGGAAAAGCTACAAATATTTTAAGATAATGCAAATATCATCTACCGTCAAAAGATTCCATAATTCTTCTAATGGAATTCATTGTTGATTCTTCAACCCTCCAGTGAGATTTTACAGCTTTCACACTTCAAAGGGAAATTAATCCCACACTAAGGGAAAGAACAATATAGTCAATTTGAAATAATAATTCAATAAATTTAGCTAAGACAAGCCTAGTTTTCCACATGCCAATGAATTTAGCCAAGCTTTAAATAAGCAAATAAAAAAAAGTTCTCATGCATTTCTTAACCCATTATCATTAATGGAAAAAGCTTCATTTTTATTTTTAAAATTGTTTGAATGTAATAAGGATAAAGATAATTTAATCCTAAATTAAAAGTTGTCCTTATTTATATATAGAATCTTGATATTTATGAAAATTTCCTTGAGCTGAGATTTTAGCTTTTTTATTTTATTACCTAAATTATTAGACAATTCAAGGTTACTAACATTTTATTACAAATAATTTTCCTTTTTTTTTGTGTTCTCGCATTTGCTATGTGCCATTTAATGCTTGCAACAAAAGAATTAAAATTTATTGTTTATTTATATATGAAATCTTTGTATTTATGAAAAACTATTGAAACCTATATTTAGATTTTTTATTTTATTCCTCAAAGATTTAACCACTCATTGTCGTTAACATTCTCTATGTTTTTTTTTTCTTTTCCTAGTATTTTTCACGTTTTTGTTATGTGTCTCTTAACTCTTAGAACTAAAGAAGTTATGAATGCATGTGACTCAAGTAGAATATAGATACCTAACACCCTGGGTTACAATAACGGAAAAAAGATTGAAACGCAGGATACTTCATCAATTTCGAATTGAGCGTGGTTCTCCTTTATGTATGTTAACAAAGAAGTAATGGCCCAATCGTCCCGAGATGAACTTTTGTGTAGGGCAACCATATCTCAATCAAATTCCTCGAAACAGTGGGGCAGACTAGAAGGAACAATCAATCTGCAGTAATACTACATTTAAGATCTATCAAATAAAAATACTTTATGTTCTCATAAGCAGGCATTATATTTTATGGGCACTACAAATAACACCATTATGAAGCTTTCAAGGCTCAAAAGATTGACTTGCCACAAGTTGTGGCCTTACCAAACCAGGAGAATCACTTAATTTGGTGTTCACTTCAACAATATCGCCAGATACAGGGGCATAGACATCACTAGTTGCCTTGACACTCTCAACAGCACCAAAATTCTTTCCCTTTGTCACAGTAGCACCAACTTCTGGCAGCTCAACGTAAACAACGTCACCTAAGTGGTCCTGAAAATGAAGGTAACAGAAAAAATTTAAAAATTATTTAAAGAAGATAGATTCCAAAAGAAGCAAAATTAATTGTAACAACTTGGAAAGGAGTTGTTTCTCAATGTTGACGTAAATTACCTGTGCATGATCTGTTATCCCTATTTTAGCATAAGTACCATCAACATCAGCCCACTCATGAGAATCGGCATACTTGAAGTGCTCTATAACTGCCCAACAAGTTATAAAAATTAAAATAGTGTAATTTCAAGCGCATGAAAATCAAAATCTTATACAATGTTGCTATAAAGTCATGCACAACCCCGACTTATTCTCAATAAGAAACTAATAGATACAGTTGAATCATTATCATTCCCTAAATCAACACAGGTGATGAATCAAAGACCTAACATGGGAAGATTATGACTTAACCACATAATAAGTTTCCTCGTAATCTAACCATGATTGGCAAAATATCTCTATTGATTCAAATCAAAAATCAATTTGTATAGGATAGGGATTCGCATGTTCCTGAAGACCACAAATGTCTATATGTAATCATCTAGCATAATTTAAAAATAAATAAATCAAAGTTTAGCTAAGAATATTATTCTAATCAGTTTTGCCTCAAGACATCCAAATTCAATTTAAATATAGCCATGAATTCACATGATAAAAAAATTGCATTTTAAGTTGGACATTGGCAGTCCTTTCACGCAAATTCAATGACTTCCTTAAGATAACAAATTGCATCCGACAATTCTTCTTTCCGTTTATGGAAAGAAGGAAATTTTGATTAAATCTTCTCATTCTCTTCTCGCTATAAGTTTTTGCCAACATTACAAATTTTTCTGCTAAAAACAAAATAAAATAGATCTCACGATCATGATTATTGATTTGGTGACATGAGTTCAACGAAATTGATAAGATCTTTCTCAAAGCAATGAAGCTTAAATACTTTTTACCTTCTTGTCACAATAAACTCATTAAATGAAATGATTAACATTAATCTTGTATATCTGAAAGAAAGGTGGAACTTCGTAAGAGAAAAGTTGGCCGTATGCCTATAAACAAATAATAGTACAATCTTTCGGTCAGAAAGTGAAACAGATCTACGAAAACCAAACGACCGCAAAAAATTGGTATCGAGCAAAAACCAATAAAAATAAGAAAATAATGGAATCAAATGAAGGCAAGAATGCCAACGATGTACCAGAGGCGAAGCCCCTCCGAAAGAGGGAGATCCTCAGATGGCAGGCGGCTCTAGACGCCCAAAGCATCCTGGACGCCATGACTTCAGAGTTCACAGACAGCTGCAAATGCCAACCACCGCAGACAAAGCGACGTCGTTCTCAACTTGTTCCGCTCAGATCCGGAAGATGTGTCCTGTCTATATTGTGCCGGGGTTGGTAATTGCTAACAGACTTGGAGATGGCCTCGGACTTCTTAGTAAGACCAGGTTAACCCTACCTATAACATACCTATAAGTTTCAATAAATTTCAATATTTGTTTTGATATATTTATAGATTACAGATAAATTACTGGATAATTACAAATGATATAACATGAATATAATTCTTAGTACCTTCTGAATAACCTTGACGTAATTTTTTCTCTGGCCAATGACACCTATTTGTTTCCATGAGGGCTGACTTGTTCTTGAACAACCTTGGGTTCATTGACTAGCTCCTGTTTAATTCGTTTGTTTTGCAAATAAGTTGAATATGAATAATTTTTTTATGCTCGATATATAAATGAACTGAATGCGAATAAAAATTTTTCGTTCATGTTAGACCTATTTTGGCTCCAAATAATTTTAGATGTATGTATCTATATATATATATATATATATATATATATATATATCTGTGTGTGTGTGTGTATCTTATGAGTATTATTTTCGGACGATGAAGTTAGACTCGCCCGAAAATAGGTACTGATACGCCACCAACAAATTTTCATCATCCATCGTGAATCTCGAGACATGACACGAATCTCAAGACAATCTTTCGGCAAGTAATATTCAAGTTTTAATTAAAAGTCATCTAGAGCTCTGATTTTAGCAAACTTATAGTCAAACTGACCGACTTAATGAGACGGACCTAATAATATCAAAGTTAGTCTAATCCGAGTCAAATCAAGCCCAGATCAAGTGATTAAATCATTATTGAAAGATTTTCGGACACATTTGAAAAATCAAACAAATGTCGAACTTAACGAGTTCATAGTCGAATCAAGCGTCTCGACAAGACAAATCCAACGAGCCCAAGATTGCTCAATTTCGACATCGTTAGGGCTTCAAATGTCCATCAAACGCCATCTGATCGAGGGAATCTCTCCGGATCCTCAGATCAAAATGGTTCATATGCATGCATTAATTACACCCAAAATACTATAAATAGAGCTACATCCCTCACATGAGAGGGGGAGGCTGGAGAGAGAACTTGAGGATTTGAGAAAGAGCTTAAGTCCAATATCATCCCTGTCATCGCAAACCACCGCCGACAACCACCAATCACCGCCGACCAGCAATAACGGTCAGTGACTCTCGCTGACCTCCATTGATTACCGTTGGCCGCCGTCGACTGATCTCAAATTGTTACTTATATGCAACAGTATAACAATAACAATGATTATATTTTCACTTATATTTCCTTACTTTGCAACAGAGTCAACACTTGATCCTGAAGCAAATAGGAATTTAACTCTTTAATTTATATATTGGGATATTTAATTTAACTCTTTAATTTATATATTGGGATACTACGCAAGTATATGTATCGTTATCAAGTAATATATGACTTTTTGATTAAGACTTGAATATCGAACCGACAGGGAAATACGCAATATGCTCTATTGAACGACAAATTTTCTATTTTAAAAAGACAATTACTTAAATTAGAGATGTATTTGCAGTAATTAAAATTTAAATCTTTTTTGTATTTTTGATATTTTGACAAAATAGTAACAATTTAAAAAGATAATTTGAGTTTATGTAAAAGAAAATCACTGAATTTGAAAATATCTTTCTCCTTATCATGAATCAGTAATAAGCATAGGAATTCTGTTGTGGTAGTATGCAAATTGTGTTGTGCCAAATAGGAGCAATTATATTCTTTACCCTTACTAGAGATGCTATAAAAAATATTGGCTAATTTAAAGTTTGAATAGTTCTGAAAACCGGCTAGGCAGAGAAGATATCAGCTCTCACTCTAGAGTTCCATCGATTCCCTCCACCTGGGGGCTAACATCTTGAATCAGAACCTAAAATAGTAAACCAAGTTGGGGGCTTTAACCTATCACTTTAAAGTCCTCTAACTCTACAACCTTCAAAGATTATTTTCTTATTTATTTGCACTAAATCATATGCATTACATTCTCATTCATGCAACCTCATATGATTCTTTCCAATTGTTGACTAAGATAATATCAACCCGGTTCTTACATATTCTCACAACAAATTTTAATATCTGGATAAGCCAAATCATGAAGTAAATAAAGTTCATGGATTTAAATCATCACAACTTCTTCCGACATTAAGGATCAGTACTCTCCACAACTTCCATCCAACACTTTAATTACTTATCATTTTAAGAAGAAAAATAAATAAAACTACTAGAATCCACGAAGAAAACAAAACCATACTTTAGTTTAAAAGTAGAAATCATTGTCAAACCAACAAGAAGTCTCAATTAAATCCAAAAGTAGTTCAAAACAAAAGATAAAAACTTATCTCAAATCTTCTACCAAACTCTTGAAGTTCTTTTGAATCTCTTCTTTTTTACAACACTCTCAAAATAAACTAAAAACAAAAAGAATAAAGTAAATTTGTGGTGCCTGAAAATCTCTCCAAAACACTCTCCTTTCCACCACTTTTCAGAACTTTCATGCACAGTTTAAAAAGTCTCAACTTCCTTCTTTTATAAATCTTCAAGAGGTGCTTGATAACTCTTCAAAATGTATTCCAATTCAATATATTCTCCAAAGGATGCCTCCTTTTATAAATCTTTTAATAATATTTTTGTTTTTAGTGGTCATAACCACCCTCTTTAGCCAATAGGTGCCTCAAATACCTCTTTAAAATTTAGTCAAATGAAGAAAACCGTCAAATAACTGTCTCTAGCGCTTAAGCGCGAGGGCTTCTGGCGCTTAGGTGCGGCTTTCTCTGTTTAACCGGCGCTTAAGCGCCGAATCTGGCGCTTAGGCGCCAAAACACTTTAGCACAATTTTCACATCTTTGCTCTAAATTTGATCCTTTTTCACTCTTTTTTGCATTTTTTACCTTTTTATTTGTACTTGAAAGAAAAACACACAAATAACTTCCATTAAAGTGCAATATCTAAAAGATAGGCATAAAAATGCGTTTAAAAATACTATATATTTTAGGTGTATCAAAATCCCCCAAAATTAAAATGTTATTTGTCCTCAAGTGACACTTCAATCTTTAAAAACTAAATAAGTATGATATGTATATGAGTTTCTTTAGGAGTTACTAAAATTTAGATATATAGTAGTCCAATTTAGATATAACAGTCTAATTTAGAAAAAATATTCAGTACATGAGACCAACTTAAAGTTTAGAAATTTTTAATGTTAAGAAAGATAAAAATATGAGTTAATATCTAATTCAAAAATATTGTAGATTCTCCAAGTTTAGAATCTAGTCCTTTTATTATCTCCACTTAAAAATTTTTATTAAGAATAATTTTACTTACTATATTATATTTTTAAGCTTAAGATTTTCTCAAGTCTTATACTTTAAAAAGCTCAAATTATCATCCAGAGCTCCTATTTCAACAAACTTATAGTTAAACTAACCAACTGATGAGACATACCTAATGATATGAAAGTTAATCAAATCTGAGTCAAATCAAGCCCAGATCAAGTGATTAAATCATTCTTTGAAAATTTCTAGACACATTTGAAAGATCAAACGAATGTCAAATTCAATGAGTTCATGGTCAAATCAAGCGTCTCGACAAGACAAATCCAACGAGCCCAAGATTTCTCAATTCCGACATCGTTGAGGCACTCAAATATCCATCAAACGCCATGTGATCGAGGGAAGCTCTCCAGACTGTCTGATCAAAATAGTTCATATTCCTGCAATAATTGCACCCAGAATATTATAAATAGAGCCCTACCCCTCACATGGGAGGGGGAGGCTGAAGAGAGAATTTGAGGCTTTAAGAAAGAGCTTAAGTTCAACATCATCTCTGCAATCACAGACTGCTGTCGACCACCGCCAATCATTGCTGACCAGCACCAACGGTCAACGAGCACCACTGACCTCTGTTGCCGCCGGTCGCCGTCAACCACCGTCGATCGCCGCTGACCTCCGTTGATCACCACCATTCGTTATCAACTATCATTGGCCACCGCTAACCAGACGTCGTCAGTCGACGTTGTACCTTGGAAAATTAAGTAACCCTTTCCTGTCTGTAGGACAAAGGGCCTCTGTAATCATCAACTTATAGTTGATTTTTATAACTAGATCAGACCCTGTGGTTTTTTCTCTTTACGGGTTTTCCACGTAAAAACTTCTGGCTTTTTCACATGTTGATTCCCTTTCATCTAAGTGTGTGTTGAATCTTCGTGCAACACTAAGATGATAATCCTTTACTCTACCGTCACGAATTTTTCAAGCATGCATCAAGTATTATTTTTAATTAATTTAATTGTTTACAAGGCCACAAAGATTATTATCAATTAAAATTACTAAGTAAAATTAGAATAAAAATATATCAAATTTTATTTTAAAAAATATTTTAATATAAATAATGAGATATAAATCTCATCATACTCTTATGATCCTACGACTGTGTGATTAGGGTTGTCAAAATGACTCATTGTTCGTGAACAACTCATGTTCGGCTCAATAAACAAATGAGCCAAACACAAATAAACTTTTTTGAGCTCGATATATAAATGAGCAAAACATGAACAATGATATTTTTTTAACAAGCCAAACCCATGCCTCTAACGGCTTCATGACTAGGGTTTTCAAAACACTCTTTGTTTGCGAACAACTCGTGTTCGGCTTGCTGAGTAAACGAGTCGAACACAAACAGTGGTATTTTTTGACAAACTGAACACGAGCTAAAACTAGACTCGCTTGTGTCGGGTCGTTTACACTAGTATTTACACCAAGCTCACCCTATCATTTTGAGCGCCATGTAGGATATTGTTGAAAAACATAATGCATTGGGGTTGAATTGGCTTGATGAGTTCAATAGAATTAATATACTTGGTCGTTCAACTGGACTTGACCTACATTTTAGCTAATAAAAAAATTATATTTGTAGTCAGCTGAACTCGACAAAAAATGAGCTCAAAATTTTCTTAAAAAATGACATATTCAAATACACATGTTCTTGCCTTTATTTTTTTTTTTACGCTCTAGAACACTCTCTCAATTTTTTAAGTGGCTTGGGTTTTTTTAAAAAAATTCGAAAAG